GGATGGCTTTTTTGAAGACTACCGCAAAATTATATTGAATATGAAACAGGAATTAGTACTCATACGAAGTAATGATGATATTGATGCAATTAAGGTCGCTACCGCCGAAACACCCAAAATTACTATTGAAAAAATACAGTGGCGAGTCCCTCATGTTTCCGTCGACATTCCTCAACAATTGGCCTTGACAAAACTTGTTAACAAAAATATTGATATTCCACTGTACTTCCGGAGTTGGGAACTCGTTAAGTATCCCTCCCTACCCGCTAGACATACGTGGCCAGTGAAAATAACTACGAAGCTAGAAACACCGAGGCATTAGATACTCGCTTTTCAGACAGATAAGAAAAACCAACTACAGTCAAATATGTCTACGTTCGATCACTGCAAGCTAACCAATGTTCGAGTGTTCTTAAATTCAGAACGATTTCCTTATAATGATCTCTATCTGGACTTCCCCAATAACAAATATGCTCTCTTGTATGACATGTTTTCAAAATTTCGTCATTCATATTATGAATCCGAAAATGAACCATTGTTTACCCCTGATAACTTTAAAAGTTTGGCGCCCATCTCACATATCGACTGCTCTAAGCAGAAGGAAAGTATTCAAACCGGTTCGGTTGTAATGAGAGTAGAATTTGAAACAAGTGAAAATATACCGCCAAACACATCCGCTTATTGCCTTATTCTCCACGATCGTCTTTTTTATTACAACCCTTTGACAAAAATCGTTAAACAACGTTAAACTTATGAGTCTATAAAAACCTCATTTCCCACATTTCCTGGTCAGTTTTCTTATGAAGCTCATTTACTACAAAGCTCTTGAGCGGTACGTCTCCAAACTTAAACAATAAAGACAAGACATTGAATCATATTGCTTGCAACAGTGTGTTTTCCATCAGTTTCCTGTTTTGCGAATATGAATCTTGTTTTGGATGTGCAAGGATTCAAAATCGAACATAATAAATTTATTGTTAAAGAACTTGCTGGGTATGATGGACAACAAATATGTCACTATGTCTTCAAGCCCCCTTTTGCACTGGATCTGCTCCCACCGGACTTACAAACACAAGCTACTTGGTTGAAGCAGAATCATCACTGCATAAATTGGAACTCTGGTTTTACTCCACTACATACCTTTCCAAAAATTATGGATGACTTAACGAAGCATGCAGATCGAATTTTCGTCAAAGGAGTCGAAAAAGCAAACTACTTGAGACGGTTTTTCCGCAAACCCGTCATCGAATTGGACGAACAGCCTCGTTTAGAGCCCGCTAGCACTGCATGTTTCTACCACTCCAAGCCTATCACCATGTGTGCACTATCCAACGTATTTTATTTGTATAGTCAACGCCAAACAAAGTGGCGTGCACGTCATCACGATAAAAATTCCCCGACCTAATGCCTAGGTTTCTATCACAAACAATTGCTCTATTGCAGTTTCATATTAATGTGATATATAAATTGTAAAATGGTCATTACTCTCTTATTATGGTTAATAGTCATATAAACATTGTTATTAAAATATCACATAAGTTGCTTTCTGATAAATTTAGACGCATTATGCGAAATAAAATGTTTTGCAAACGCTCCAATCACTTATCGACATGTAAACGCACTAAACCGATTTCGCAGCGTTGACACATTGTCACCTTGAAACTTATTTAAACTGGGAACTGACATTTGTATTAATTTTGACACTGAATCAATTTGTGGCATTTCAAATCTTTATAAATCCTTTGGCCCCGCATACTGTAAATCAACAACTGTTTGTTTCAAAACAAAATTATTCATTTTACGAGTAGATAAAGGCAATTTTGGTATATAAAGATGCCCAAACAGTTAAATAGTCGGTGTAAGGAACTCGTGGCCTCGTTAATGCACTACTTTGAGCAAGAAAGGGACAACAACGGGCCTTTGTTGCCTTTAAATGCTGTTCAAGAGGTAGGTTACTAATAATTATATGTAATGTATATTAATAATAGTGAAATTTTATTTCATTTTTTGTAGCGTGTTGCTGCTGCTTTAAAAATTAGTTTAAGGACAGTTAGTCGTATTTCCGAGGGTGTGAAAAGTGATGCAAATTTAGAATCGCCCCAGAAAAAGCGGAGTTATATTAAACGTGTAACCAACACAGCGACATTGGATACAAGTGCCATTCGAGAAGTGATCTATAATATGTATCACAAAAGTAAGATCTTATTATAATAACTTATCAGAAATTTGCATTAATTTGTTAACTAAATTATAATGTCATATTACACATGGTTTCAGAAGAACAAGTTACGATACAAACTTTATGGTCTCGATTAAGAGATAGGGCATTATTTGATGGTAGTGCCACGTCTTTAAGGCGGTTGCTTAGAGATCTTGGATTTAAGTGGCTTAAGGACAATCCGCAACGAGGGCTCATGGAACTACCAAGTATAGCTTTGAAAAGGGTGGAATTTCTAAGGCAATACAATCAAGCCAAGGTTGAGGCCTTATACCAGTTTGTCTTCCTCGATGAAACTTGGATATTTCAAAATGGGACCATAGGTCGCTCTTGGCAAAATGGAAACCAAAAAAGCGTGAAAGCTATTAAAACAGATGGTAAAAGGTATGTACTTTTACACAATTTGCACTATAAAATTTAAAACTAATATATTTTAGATACATTATATTACATGCTGGAAATGAAAATGGGTTTATTGAGGGTAGTGAAGCGATATTTTCTTCGAAAACAAAATTGAGCGATTACCATGGAGAGATGAACCAGGACAATTTTTTGAAATGGTTTCAACATCAGTTATTAGAAAAATTGGAGAGTCCATCTATGATTATACTGGATAACGCCCCTTATCACAGCATGATATTGAACAAAGTGCCCAACAATGCATGGACAAAAAAAAATATCCAAGACTGGTTGACAAATCAAAACATACCATTTTTAAACACAATGTTTAAAACAGAGCTATTGAGTGTTGTTGCTCGGTACATAATGCTTCTTAATTATATATATTTTGGTCGACAGTTTATATTTCTTTTGTTTATTCCTATTCTTAAAATAACTGCTTTTTTAGAAAAAACCACCTAAAATATACGTGATTGATGAATTGGCGGAACAACATGGGCACAAAGTTCTTCGTCTGCCTCCTTACCATTGTTATTTAACCCTATTGAGTTAATTTGGGGCATAGCAAAAGGTTACTATAACAGACATATTGGTAGAGATGGTAACAGTGAAAAAGACTGTTTGGATATGTGGAACGAGGCTCTACAAACGGTTACCCCAGACATGTGGAAAAATAGTGTTCGACATACTGAGCAAGAAATTTTTAAATGGTATGAAAGAGAACGAATTTTTGATCGACCAGACATCGAACCTTTAATAATCAACTTTGAGAGTGATGAAGATTCAGATTCAGACAGCGCTGAAGAAAGAAACTCCGACTAACTTTATTGTACAGAAAAAGCTTACACCAGTAGCTTACCTAATTTTAGAATGCATTTTTCTGTATGCATTCTGTAAAATAAATACCATGCATAAAATTTGGAGGACCCCATTTGGATTTTTATTCAGTACCTTTAAGCTATCAATTAAATATGGTAGTTTCATAGTGTCATCTGATCAATAATTGTCATACTTAATGATTATGCAAGTACAGATCTATAATTTTATTATACTATTATTTTTGTTCTCATTTGAGGTTAATATTGCTTATAAACCTAGATATGTAAATAATAAATTTTATTATTTTACAAAAAGTTTGGCAACGATGTAAATTTTTCAACACACCCACCTTGATGACGTGCACGCCACTTTGTTTGGCGTTGACTATATAAGAACTTTATCATGTCATAATTTTTTTAAATAAAACAATTATTAAAACATATTAGCTTTTTTTTAATCAATGAGTTGTCAGGAAACAGCATGTAAATGGTTATCGATATGTATTTACAGGAATATTTACACAACTTACAGAACGTCTTTTCATTTGTACACACTGTCACTGTCACACTGCATCGACATTGAATAGTTTGATTCTATTAATCGCAATTGCAATACGTGCACTCCAAACTTCACTATTTTAAGCGTGGGTTTTTTCCCTTTTTTCGTTATACTACATTACAATTTTATTTTACAGTTAAAACTTACAAAATCTAACTTCATACTAATCTGATGCACTAATTTACATTTTCAAACCTTTCTGTTAACACTTTTTGTCTATAATCTAGTGTCACGTACTTTTTTAGCACTTCTTCGACTAGTTGCACTGGCCTTCGAAACCTCCCAGCTACTTCTTCGTGCTTCTCTGTACGCATATTGCCAAGCATACATGGTATATACTTTGTTTTTTTCGTTGAAGGATACGGTCTTTGGAATTATATTGAGATGGTCACCTTTATTGCACTTATTACTTTTGTTGGTGCACCCCTTGGTCGCCCCACTGCTTTTGTCTTCTGCCAACATTGTTTCCACCCTCTTCAACTCTGCTTCCGTCTGCTAACAATATATACACTCTCTGCACCTCTGCTTCCTTCACTGCTGTTGCAGTTGGCGGATTCTAATTCTTTCCTGCAGCCTTCATTTCAGTCTCGCATTACGCGACATGCCTGGAGGTACATCCCTAATAATGGGTCTATTTTCTACATTAGGGATGTAAGTTTCAGAAGGTGGATCATCATCCCAATTTTCTTCCGTTGGTACTTCCGGAGCAGGGTTCCTGGGTCCATATCTTCGGAATCCATCCCGCCGAACCGGTGTAGTGTCCATGGGCGTCCTGGATCCCGTTCCAGCAGGTTAATCATCATCCCAATTTTCTTCCGTTGGCACTTCCGGAGCAGAGTTCCTGGGTCCATATCTTCGGAATCCATCCCGCCGAACCGGTGTAGAGTCCATGGACGTCCTGGATCCCGTTTCAGAAGGTGGATCATCATCCCAATTTTCTTCCGTTGGCAATTCCGGAGCAGGGTTCCTGGGTCCATATCTTCGGAATCCATCCCGCCGAACCGGTGTAGTGTCCAAGGGGGGCTGGATCCCGTCGGCTGGTGAGGTGGTGTGGTATCCATGAGCCATCGATCATCATCCCAATTTTCTTCTTCTTGAGGGGAACACTTTATCTTAAACGGGCTTACCACCGCTACAGGCTTTCCTTCCCACACCGTAGGCAACTTAAACTTCAGACTCATTTCTTCTTACAAACTGTTTGCTAACAACTGACTTCTCTCCGCGCGTTCTACAATTTAAGCACATATTTCCAAGGTCATCCCTTCTACATCTCAAAGTCGTTCACTCCTACAAGGTCACACCCACTCAAGGTCGTGAGTGTTCGAGGTTATATATGTTCAAGGTCACACTTCAAGGTCAGTCGGAAACTCAAGGTCACACTTCAAGGTGACCCGGAAACTCAAGGTCACACTTCAAGGTCACTAGAAAACTCAAGCTCACCCTTCAAGGTTAATCGAAAACACAAGGTCACACTTCAAGGTTACTCGAAAACTTAAGGTCACACTTCAAGGTCACTCGAAAACTCAAGGTCTCGCTTCAAGGTCACTCAGAAACTCAAGGTCACGCTTCAAGGTCACTCGAAAAATTCAAGGTCACACTTTAAGGTCACTCGGAAACTCAAGGTCACGTTTCAAGGTTACATTTCAAGGTTGGCACCGAAGGTCAGCTCTCAAGGTCGTTTGGCACCGAAGGTCGGCGCTCAAGGGGGTCCCAGAACATACAAACCCTATCTACTAGCCTAAATATTTATACTGTTCATCTTGCTGCATTCCTTCAATTTTCCCTTGCACTTGGTTCGGTACATATCCTGAATGTTTACTCCATTGGTCTTTTACCATGCAACTGATCCTGCACTTGTCTAAGCCAAACAGCATCTTGATGTCAGTGCTGAATTTACTTACACAGTCCAGAAGCTTATGAAGATGTTCTTTGGTTTCTGCAAAAAGTTTGAGGTCATCCATGTACCAAAGATGTGAAATGCGTGTTTCATTGCCACCTAACAGTATTCCTTTCTTTTGGCTATTTAGCACTATTGTTAACGGTCTAAGCGCTAAGCAGAACCATAGCGGACTTAAAGAGTCTCCTTGAAATATTCCTCTCTTGAAGGATACCTCTCCGGCACTAAATTGCGTATCTTGGATGTTGAGATAGATCCGTGTCTTCCAATTCGCCATAGCAAGTGCCAGAAATTGTTTGATGTGGCACTCTATCCTGTTTTGATTTTATATTTATTTACTCATATTGTTTGTTATCTTTGTACATTGAGTGAATAAATATTATTATTATTATTATTATTATCCCATAAAGGTCAAGCACCTCTAACAGTCAAGAGTGAGGTATACTGTTAAACGCTTTCTGATAATCGATGTATGCAATGTACCTTATATTTTTTCTTTTTGGCATAATTAGTTATGACAGAGTCTATAACAAGTTCCTCTTTACAGCCTCAAGACCCTTTTCGGCAACCTTTTTGCTCTTCGTTTAGTATAGTATTCCGCTCTAGGTGTGAATATATCTTTTCAGTAATTATAGCAGTCAATACCTTGTAAATAGTCGGCAGACAGATGATTGGTCGGTATTTTGCCGTATCGTTCGAGTGACCGCCGCACTTTGGGATTAAATATGTTATTCCCATTGTTAAGAACTCTGGCAACATATCTGGTTGCTCTAAGAGGGTGTGTAACACTTTGCGAGTCGATCGTGAGCGTGAGTGAACGTTTTTAGCCAATAATTCTGAAGCTTATCTGATCCTGGGGCTTTCCAGTTTGGTAATTTTCGTAAAGTATTTATCACGTCATCTAAGCTAACTTTCCAGTCGAGCATGGTCCTAAAAGTTGAATTATTTGCTTTCTCTTGGCGGTACCATTTAGATGTGGAATGATTGATTGGATTGCTCCAAATTCCTGACCAGAAGGTGTTGATGGCATCTGAGGTAGGAATCTGAACGTTTTCTATTCTGTAACCCTCCGTCGCGCCTGCAAGTTCCTGTAAAAGCCTCGCTGATTGGTCTCGAATGCTCGATTTTGTTTCCGGCGTTCATTGCTTTTCTTGTACCTTCGAAGTCGCAGTGCTGTAGCTGCTAGTTTTTGCTTCAGGTAGTCCAAGACTTCTACAGCTGTTGGGTTCTCCTCCGAGCAGTGAAGGTTTATCACATTCTCTGCGGATCTCTTTACTCTTAGACTACATTCAGACCTGCGGTACTGGGTGAGTATTGCTATGTCCTTTCTAATCTCCTCTATATTACGCGATATCCTCATCTCCCAGGCTGGCAGTTTTCTGTTTTTTCTTACAGATTGTTCGCCAACTCTATGTTCATTTAATTTTAGGGCTGTAAGTGCTCCAGTGTACAACAGGCTATGGAGCTCAGTCAAGGTTGTATCTTCTGTAATCTCGTTATCTATTACTTTGTTAACTTCAGCGATATACTCAGATGTATGGGGTTTTATTATTAGCTTTGGTAGGCTTGGTTTAAGAGATGGCTCCACACCATCATACCTCATGAACAAGCCCCTGAACTCATCTGCGTATTTAGAGGGTTGGCCATCGTTTGCCTGAATTTGTTCTTGGTTTTCTGTGTGCTCTTGCGGAGCTTGTTCCTGCATTCCTAATTCTATGGAGATCTCTTCTCTTATTTTGTTTATCTCCTCTGCCGGCTATCTGTTGTTTATGAATACGGATCGCCGCTGGTCTAGTACGTTTTGCACAGTTTTGCCTTGCAGGTGAGGGAAGTTCATGATAACTTGTTTGTGTAGTTCAGTACCATAGGGCTCTGTGGATGTTTCTAGTTTAGTGATTCTGTAGTAGGAGCGAACCACGAATCTGTTCATTTCGGTAGTCCACGTGGTTCTTTTTCTCCTCCTATTGTCTGGCATTATGGGCTGGGGCTCTTGGCTTCCAGCAACATGATTGCCATCTTCGACCCCAGGAAGCTGTTGGATGGGGTCATTCGAGTTACTTCTCACACTATCTGTGGGGGGCTTTTGCTGGATGACGACCGGGTGCGACCCTCCTCTACGCTCCATGCCGGACGCGGACCTCGTCGCATAGCATCGAGTCCCGATTACGTCGTTACATTCCGAGGCTTCATTTTGTTTTTTCTCCATTTCTGGGTAATTGTGTTCTCTTTTGATAGGTAGGTGTAATTGTTTACCTAAAAGTATTAAAGCTCAGGCGTGGAAGAGAGACAAAAACCACGCCTGGATGAACAGGAGGTGTGCTGGCCGTACTAACCTTCCTTCGGTGTTAATAACAGTAGCTCAACCACTTGGTCGAGGCCAGACGTTGCGTTGCTGGCTGTACCGTCTACGTCGTTACGGTAGCGGGTTTGAAACTGCTGGCGGCAGTCCCCTTACCGGCCAGACCCCTTTATTATTATTATTCTTATTATTATATATTATTATAATTTATTATTATAATAATAATAATAATAATTAATATTATTATTATTATTATTATTATTATAGTAATACTTATTATTATTGTTATATACTATTTTACTCCTCTGTCGAAGGTATTAATATTTCCCTCAGGCGGTTAGCCAAAGTAAGGAAATAGATCTGCAGCGGTCTTTTCACCGTATCCGGTTCTCATCTCCTAAAACCCTACGTACTGTCCTACATGTTCCCAGCAGTGCAGCTTTTTGCAGTTGCAAGTATATTTTTGGATGGAGCTGTAGCTTTTCCAGACTCTTGTGTAGTTTCCTTGGTATCTCTCCAGTAGCTCCTATTATAACTGGTATTATAGACACATTGCCCATTTCCCACATGCGTTTGATTTCGTCGGAGAGTGGCAAATACTTATTGATTTTTTCCGCGTGGGTGGTTTGGATATTAGTAGGAAGAGGCACAGCTATGTCTATTATAAACGTCGTTCTTTCTTCTTTTAGTGTGAGCACTATGTCAGGAATATTGTTGGGGATGGGCCTGTCAGTTATGATTTTACGGTTCCAGTACAGCCTAGAGGTCTCCGTTTCTATCACAGGTGGCGGCGTGTATTTATAGTAGGGCTGTGTACCAGTTTTCCTAGATGCTTTTTAGCCAAAGCTTGATAAAGTATTTTGGCCACATCATTGTGCCTTTCAAGATATTGTTTAGGAGCTAAGGGAGAGCACCCTGCTACAATATGATCTATGTGCTCATCTTTTTCCCCACATATGCGGCATCTGATATCGTCAACGTTCTCATGCATTATACGCTTTCGGTACAACTTTGTTGGGACTACCTGATCCTGGATGGAGGCTATGAAGCCCTCCGTCTCCAGGAACAGATTACCTGACTTATAATAATAATAATAATTTTTATTATTAGTATTATTATTATATTATTATTATTATAATTATTACTACTATTATTATTTATTACTATTATTATTATTATAATTATTATATTATTATTATTATTATTATTATAATTATTATTAATATTATTATTATTATATTATTATTATTATTATTATTATTATTATAGTTATTATATATTATTATTATTATATTATTATTATTATTATTATTTTATTTTTTTTTCACGCTACAGGACCGTTTTCTATTAGTAGCGGTATCTTATATGGAACGGTTTGACCTCTACACGGGGTCCTCGCCGAGGACCTGAGGGGTACAGATCTTTGTAGTTTATGAGCTGGTTATGTTATAACTTTCCTAATTATGTGCGATTTGCCTAATAAGGCAATCTTCTGTAACTGATAGAAATTATGATCTCCTGGTATCCTTTTTAGGTTATCTAGGATGTTGCGAGTGACATATCCAGTTGAACCAATCACTACGGGAATAACGACTGCCTTTGTATGCCACATTCTTTGCACTTCTATGAGTAATGATTTGTATTTTAGTTGCTTTTCAGCCTCCTTTTGTATGACATGTCTATCTGCATTTACCGTCATTCCTCGTCTTGTGTATTGCTTGCTCAATGTAATGCGTTTTCAAGGCTTGGTCTTGTGCTGCCACCAGCAAGCTTTCGGTTTCTTCTTTTAAATCTCCGTATTGTAACTATCCAAATGACAGTCTTAAGTCAACTGGAAGTTCCTCCATTTGACGGATATGCTGTCCGTGTAGAGGCTTACTCCGCCATTTCTCTTCGACACATTGCTTCAAGTACAGTTTGATGGACCTGTTACCTCACTCGACCGTATGTCCGGCTTCCGCAGCTTCTAATTTGATCTTATTACTACGCTTTACAATAGATCTATTTGTTGGTTTCCTATTGTCATGTGCTAGTAACATCTGTAGTAGGCGGTCTTGGTCAGATCTAGTTTGAATATACTGTCCTACTGAGAAGATAGTATTGTTGTACGTTTCTTCTATTTGCTTTAGTCCTCGTCCCCCTTTCTTTCGTGGCACGTATAATCTGTCGATGTCTGCTTTGGGATGAAGGATATTATGTATTGTCATTAGTTTTCTTGTTTTGCGATCCATTTGTCTTATGTCATCCAATGTCCAATTGATTATACCAAAGCTGTACTGCATGATTGGTATGGCAAGAGCTCCAATTGCTGTTATCTTGTTTCTAGACGTGAGTTGAGTTTGCAGAATTTTACGTACTCTCGTTATATACTCATGTCTAATATCAGCTTTCAGTGAATCGTGGGTGATGTGTGAGCCTTCTTTAGTTCCCAGCTACTTGTACACTCCGCCATGTTCTAGTGATTTGACCGTCTGTCCTTCATCAACTATTATATTAGCAGAGTCATAATGCATTCCTCTCCTGAATGTGACTACAGCGCACTTATCGAGACCGAAGCTCATCTGTATGTCGTCGCTAAATTTTTTTACAATATTGAGAGACGTTTTCAGTTTGTTTTGGCTGGGA